AATATCATAGCTATTGCCAAGTGACAAGTGCTTGGAAATCTATATATTATACACCGATCAGCCATAACATTAAAACCACTGGCAGGTGAAGTGAATAACATTACAATGGCACCTGTCAAGGGGTGGGATATATTAGCCAGCAAGTGAACAGTCAGTGTTCAAAGTTGATGTGTTGGAAGCAGGAAAATGGGAAGCGTAAGGATCTGATTGACTTTGATAAGGGCAAAATTGTGATGGCTAGACAACTGGGTCAGAGCATCTCCAAAACGGCAGGTCTTGTGGGGTGTTCCTGGTATGCAGTGGTTAGTACCAAAAGTGGTCCAAGGAAGGACGACCAGTGAACTGGTGACAGGTTCATGGGTGCACAAGGCTTATTGATGCGCGTGGGGAGTGAAGGCTAGCCCGTCTGGTCCGATCCCACAGAAGAGCTACTGTAGAACACAGTTTGCTGAAAAAGTTAATGCTGGCTATGATAGAAAGGTGTCAGAACACACAATGCATCACATCTTGCTGAGTATGGGGCTGCGTAGCCGCAAACCAGTCAGAGTGCCCATGCTGACCCCCTTCCACCACCAAAAGTGCTTACAATGGCCATATGAGCATCAGAACTGGACCATGGAGCTCTGGAAGAAGGTGACCTGGTCTGATAAATCATGATTTCTTTTACATCATGGGGAAGGCCAAGTACCTGTGCATCATTTACCTGGGGAAGAGATGCCATCAGGATGCACTATTGGAAGAAGGCAAGACGGCAGAGGCAGTCCCTGCTCTGGGAAATGTTCTGATGTTCTGGAAACCTTGGGTCCTGGCATTCATGTGGATGTTACTTTGACACGTACCACCTACCTAAATATTGTTGCAGACCACACTGCAAAAATTGTTTCCAACAATGGTTTGAGGAACATGATAAAGAGTAAACTTGTGAGGTGGGGCCTCCATGGATTGGACTTGTTTGGAGGTCAAGTCAATACCTTGAACTCAAGGGATGTGGAGTCTGTGGCTTGAGGTGGGGACCTACACAATATTAGACAGGTGGTTTTAATGTTATGACTGATCAGTGTATACAGTATACACACATCATGAATGCCGGCATACTTGAATCTAAAAAAGTCAAATAAAGGACTGTTTTCAACTAATAAAAATGAAGCCAAAGAATCTAGATATACCTTTCATTTGAATAAATATTTTTGTATGAATGTTTCTGATACCAAATTTAGAAAATTATTTGCTTCAAATGAAATGGACCAGCCAACACATGATTCTGGCATGCAGTTTGGCATAGAGTATGTTAGCTTTGTAAATAAGCATTATTTGGAAACCAAATATATATTGGATGGTTGTCAACATTGGAGATAAGTTGGGAAAAAGTGCAAATTTGATTTTTCCTACAGCTATTTTGTTATGGTTGCTATTTAAATACAAGTTATTAATTATTACATCTACCCTGACTGGTAACTGCTCAATTCACTGTCATTCTGCCTAAGCATAGACAAAAGATTTCCCTTTTCTGTAGTAAATTGCAACATTTAATCAATTTTTGCATAAACTCTATTTTTAGTTTATTAATATTGTTTTTCTAAGCTATTGGAAAAATCTCAGAAAAAAGGGTACTAAACTGTATCTTTTCTTGTTTCTGGGAAAGTACATTCAAGTGTTCACATGTTGTACCTTTAGTGTATGTTTTACCTTGAATGGTGCTTTTAGCTTACCTTTAAAGCTTTAAAGTTTTAAGGTGAACAATGCACAGTAAAGGTGCAAATGATGTACCTTTGAGGGTGCCTTTACAGTGACAAGGAAAGGTACAGTTTAGTATAATTTCTTTTCTTAGAGTGCACTGACTGTTTAGGGGGTTAAAGTCAATATAGATAACAACATATGATCAGATCATTTTTGCAAACTTGACCCCAGGTAATGCAACAGATTTCTGTTACATTTCATGCTCCATTCTCCAGGATGGACTAAAGCACAAGTTTTAGTAGTTTTAATGTCTTAAAATGAATTTGGGTGGATCAGAGTGAAATGGTATCAACCATAGCATTTAAATTACTCTTTCAGTGTTATTACACCACATTTTTATATTCTATACAATAAAAAGTCTCATGCAGTGGGAGGAAGCATGTAAACAAACACCAATAATAAAATAAGTGGCTAAGCTTGCGGAGTCCTATAGAGAATTCTTCTCTGGAGATGTAGGAGATGTAATTGTCAGACAGTCTCTTTAGGACACGTATTCAATTTGGGTCAGCACTTTATAAAATGAAAAGGATACCTCTATCTGTCTCCCCTGTGGCATCAAATTGCATCTACTATCCTGTGTGACAGAGTCCTAGGAGTTATGATAACAGGATTGCAGGGCCGAATCATTGTAGCCCCTGGGTTCCCCATAGAGGTCTATAGCTAAATGACAGTGAAAGAGAGACAGAGAGGCGCAGAGGTTAGATGACAGGTGGAGGAAACCCTATAGTCTTGGTTTTGCTGCTTCCACACACTTCTCTTCCATTAGCTTCTTACAGTCAATGAGATAATGCTAGTAGTCAGTGCTTCTCACTGTCTCAGGCTCAAACTCTGACTTTAAAAAGACATTGTTACTGGAGGAGTTTGTATATATCAAATCAAGATCAAATCATTTTTTAATTTTTCTAAGCCACATGGATTTTTAACTGTGATTTTCAAATGTTAGAGATCTGTATTTCTATTAACCTTACAATCTTCTACCTTCTTGGGCATAGAGGTAGGATAGTCACAATTTGGTTTGGATTAAAGAGATCTGAGCCAGACTGCACATATTCTTCAAATCTGTTCAGATATTCATTGTATGGATACCTCATTGTACGCATTTGTAAGGTGCTTAATAAGAAAACAGCTGTCACAAAAAAGTCTCATCGAGAGACCACAAGCTTGAATCCCTACAATCCAACATAGCTATCCAGGGCCGGGAGACCAAGACAGCAAAATTAGCCAGTGGGAGGGATGGCATTATTCTCTCCCTGGTCAATCAGCAAGACACTACCCAATTGAGGGCGTCTGTGAGCTCAAGTATGTGGAAGAAGGCAGTTAGTGCATTCCTTGACTGTGTACGAAAAGATGTGTTAAAATATACCCCACTCTCCAGCCAAAAAAATGGCTTTGTTCAGACGCCCTGCCGATCACTGATGGGGTGTTTGATGTTTTTGTACACTTAGCTGGCCACAAGCTTTAGAATCTTGAAGGTTGCAATTTGTTTGGGTTTCTGCACTTTTGTCAATAAGCCTTTCGTTACTCTGATTTCCAGCAGGAAAACACACTTTGAGCTTTTTGGAGCAAGATATATTCCTGATTGATAAAAGTTCCCATCTATAAATGTTATCAAAGAGCTTTGTTTGAAAACATGAGTAGCAAGTAAACATAGTTGGCCATTTGTAATATAAGACAAATGGCACCTTCCTGTGAATTTAGGTGGTTTTTAGACACGTGATGGAAATTACTAGACTCCCAGAAACCAGAATTCTGGCATGCCAAACCTAACCTAACCTTAATTTTCTGGTGATAGATATATACCGAGCTTAAACTGTAATGAAAGCTCCCTTTTGTTTTGTCATCTATCTGTCTTGTCTACTGTTATAAAACCCCTGGGGAACCAGTGGTGAGTAGAGGGGCGGATTTACCCCTGTGGATTTCCATGCCATGTGTTTGACTGCTGTTTGGATTCATGAGTAGAATGATTGACTGCTGCTGGCATACAGGCTGCCACCAGAGCCAACACTCTGACAAATGGCATAGAGGGGTAGCAGCGGGGGAAATCATGCAGCTTGCCCATAGACAGCTCCTAATAATTTCCCCAGTTTGTGCTCATAGTGCTGCTTTACTGCCACTGTCTATCACTGCCAGAGATGTTATGATGCAATGGTTTCTACTGATAACAAACCGTGTCTTTATGTACACATAATTAATGTGTTTTGGTAATATACTGTATGCAGTTGTTCATTGTCTGTATGTGTGGTGGCCTGGGAAAACCCTTCATATGGTCTAATTGTGACTATTTGCTACTATATAATGTAAATAGGTCTGAATACTACAGGCTTTTTTGAACTGAAAATGGTGTCTCATTTGCACGCATCTCAATCACAAGTAAAGTGATAGCATTATAAATTCCACCTACTTGCAAAAGTGAATTGCATTTAAAAGATTTCATTCCAATTTCACTGAAAGACACCACATCTACCTCTACATTTATAACTTAATCTACTTATGGAAAAACAACATTATTGCCAAGTGTTAAAAAATTATACATTTACAATGGGAAATGAGTTCTCTCTTTGATTAAGAGCACCATCCACATCTGTCTCGGTCTCATCACCAGAGGTAAAAGTCACTCAGAGCATTTAAACACAAGCCTCCTCTTCGTCTCTTCACTGTTCTCTGTCCACTTTTCCATCAGTAGGGAAATAATCACTGATTATTTTTAATAAGGTCTGTTCTGTTTTCTTTTTATTAGGTCCTTTACACATTTTTTCTCCATTTTCACTATGTCTGCTGTCATCGTGTGTAAGCACTCTTTTGTGTTTTGTTGATGTGACGGTGCAGGAACATGATAGACATCTTGTGACAGCCGGTATCTGATTACAAACTGAACTGATGAGGAACAGCACATAACTATCCAAAAACTTTTTTTTTAAGTAGAGATGTCAAAATATATTACTTGCAGAAAAACTCAATTTTGGTTTTCCAGAATTCAGCCACCGTGACATCAGACAGGATTTCCCAGACTGTTGATGAAGTGCACAGCAAACATTGAATCAATAACAATAAGAGGTTCAAGGTGGGTTAGGAGGATAAAGATGTCTAGTGACAAGTTAATTCTATGTTATTCTTCTTCTTTCGGCTGCTCATGGATGTCGCCACAGCAGATCATCAGTCTATATATTTGATTCAGCACAGTTTTTACACTAGATGTCCTTCCTGACTCAACCCTCCCTAATTTTATCTGGGCTTGGGACTGGCACTGGGAGTGCACTGTCTTGTGCAACCCCAGTAGAATCGAACCTGGGCCACGGTGGTGAGAGCGCCATGGCCTAACCACTAGTCCTCCAGGGACCCTAACAAGTTAATTCTATAATACTAACAATTTAATAATACTGTCTTAACCATGTCTGCACAATACCAGGTAACTTACATTCAGTGTAAAATAAATGTATGAGGTTGTCAGACATATACTACTGTTAATACTAAGTACAGATTTCTATGAAATAAAATTTTCCCCCGTCTAATATCTGGCTGCCGTAATAACCGATATTGCAGTGCATATACATCCTTATTGTTTCATTTGCACAGTCAATTATGCTCTCATGTGTGCTTCCTTTAGACTGTGGAATAATTACAGTCAATGAAGTTTAAGATGTTTTGAACCACTCACATACACACACACACACACACACACACAAGAGAGGAACAACAATGTATTTGTAATTCTGTTCCAGCCAGATAAGTTTTCAAATTATGAATTTCTATGATTTTTTTTTACCCTAATGACTGTAACAACAATAACAACATGGACAAATGACTGCGTAAATTTTGTATTATGTGTTAATTTGGTTTACTTTAGTCCTGAGGTTAGAAGATGCAAGTATGTGAAGAAGACATGGGAAATAAAATATCACATTACAGATCATTAAAGCCAACCTACTGGAAAGGTCCAGATAAGGTTGCCTAAGTAAATTTTAACATATTTTTGCCGGCAAATTGAACACCTCCAAGTGATGTCATATGGGGTGTTCATTGGAACAGATGTGCAGTGACAATGTACTTTCAAGAGTCCCTTGTGTGATCTGCCACATTCTTTTTTGTGTGTTCTTACATACACATGCACCTTTAGTACCTGATTTTCTATGGATACGGAAGTGCTGGGTTAGTGTATAAGCTTTTATGCAGCCAACTCTGATTAGTTTGTTATAGGTTTTCTGGAATTAGGGCATTTGATGTGTGGTACTGGATCTATAAATACGCAAAACTTTCTTCCTCTGATGTGTAGTAATGGTGTCAAAAATCAGAGCTGGAGCTAGTGAAGGTGTGAGTGCTGCTGGCTTATATGCTGCTGGGTAGAGGTGATAGATGAGCCTGGTGTGGATTCTTTAGCACAACTTGGGTAAATTCACACACCCTCCTGCTAACTCAATATGAAACTCAGCAGTCCACCTGCAGCCAGCCATCCTTGGGTGCCTCCAACTCATCAACACGGTCCACTGGACAACAAAAATAGCCTCCTCTTCTATTTACACTCATATAACATTTGCCTGCTAGTGCTGATCACTGGACTAAATGGCTCTAATAGCCAAAGTGTGCAGAGTATAGCTGAACTTCTTTAGAAACTTGAACAGTGGGTAGTAGAACGGAAGAAAATGAAAGAGGAGAAATTGCATGACATTTATCTTGCTAAAGATGTCTATACATATCAAAATGTTTTCATATTGAACATTTTATTGTATTGATTCCAAAATTGCCAGTGATATAAAATGGATTCGATGACTCTATTCAACATAAGTTTGCCATAACAGAATAACTGTGTTGCCATATAAGAAACACATGGAGCATAAGAAAAAAGTGTGTTTCTGCTATAACATAGAACCTGAAGCAAGCTTGAATAAGAGTGAAGGATTACAAGAGTTCATCATTTATCCCCCCTGGGCTGAAGAACACCACTCTTTCAACTTCAAATACCGTTTGTTCTGCTCCAGTGTCTCAAGTGCTAAAAATTGTCACAGGATCAATTTGATTGACTCAGATCCAATTTGCTCGACTGCTTGTGGCAGCCAATTAAATTGAGCTATTCCAGCTGTAGCAATTTTTATCATGGCAGGTCTACCAAAGTCCCTGTGGACTACCATGTGCCAAAGGAGTCTTTTGTGCGTGAGCAATGGAGAGTCACAAGAAATGTTCTCTTTTCATGCTTACTTTCTGTTGCCAAAACATGAAAAAGAGCATCCTTGTGGATGTTGCTACTTTTTAGAATAACAATAAATGCACTCCTTGCACATTTCTCAGCAGACTCAAGACTCAGCAATTTATCATATTTAAATGTAAAAATTTAGGAAGCTATTTCCTTAAGGACTAAAGTCTATTGCTGTTATATTCCAGGTAGAGGTTTTGAACCGTCTGAACACTGTTTGCTCTGAAAGAATTTGATTTGCAAGACTGCGAAGTTATTTGATATACTGCTCTTATATGTTCAATTAGTTTGTTTAGTTTTTTGTGTTGTTACAATCTGAACAAAATAATATACGTATTAATGAAATATAAAGTGTGAAGCACTGACACAGATTTCATTTCAGGTTTTACTTTGACTTTACTATGAACAATAAGCAGTGATGGCTGGTTGTGATATAATCAAATAAAATCAAATATTAATCAACAGATTGACAATGAAACTAATAGGGCTGAGCAATGCATTATATCACACAGTCTCATTGATGGCATAATAAGAAAGTGAGATAGGCAGACGCATTCGTGATTTCTAGTCCATATTGCAATACTGGGTTCATGACATGTTTCCTCTGAATACTAAGTATTCAAGGCATTTTGCCATTTTGTAGAGAAAAGTATGGTAGGGTAAATAATCTTATACTTCTCATGCACCTTCTCAATCACTGCTGAAGATATGTTACAAATATGTTGATGAAGTGAGCAAAAAAAAAAAAAAAAATCAGCCGAAAATGAGATTTGAATGAGATTGAGGTGTTTTTCTCTTTATGTAATCACCTGAAATGACTTTCACTGACTGACTGCACAAATCTACTTCTCTAGGCTGGAAAAAAACAGCCCTAACGCTGCTTCTTCATACCATTCTGTTTGTTTGTTTTTTTTTGTTTTTTTTTTTAACAAATGCGTTGTTCTTAATTGTCCAAAGTAATCCACTTTAAGATATTTGTTAACACATTGCAGAAAATGCCGTCTTATCAAGTGAAAATATCCTGAATATTGTCAAATGTGTTTAGTATTTCCTATTATAAGATTACAGTAATCCAAATATAAGATTACTAAACCTATTTCTACACATTGTGTTACTAATTTCAACCTTTCTAGCATTAATTGCTAGATGACTGCTAGATAAATGATCTGCCAGTAGAATAAAGAAAACTTTAGCTTTAAAAATACGTAGAAATAGATTTAATCTTGTCTTTGGTTTACGATAAAATAATAGGATATACTAGATAATAGATATATTGGTGATTGGTAAAATAGGAGAATACTAGATAAATTTGACTATATTCAAGACATTTTCACTTTCTAAGATGTCATTGTTCTCCACCCACAACTCAGCAATATGGGCTTGTTTGGTTCATTATTCTTAGAGAAAAAGTACTACATTCCATTTTAATTTGTCTTGTGATATCAAGTCAGTGTTTCTTTTTGTCCAGAGCAGAAAAGGCACATGCTGTACTGTGCTGAAAAACAAAGATAAACAGATTAATAACTGTTCTTTGTTCAATTTTTGTTACCAATATGTTCATATTGCTGTTGCTTCTGACAATGATTTGTGTGCTAGCAATCACTAGAGATGTGAGTCTGTTGACTGTATATCATATTTGACTACTTATCTTAATGGAACATTGCTAAGATGATGGTAAACAGCAATCTAAATAGATAGGGCATATTTCAAATATGGCCTGCAGTATCCAAGATAATTCATTACCTCATATAAAGTTTAATTCAACAGTCAAATGTGTTTTTGGTTCAACAGGTTAGGCTATGTGAAAATCTGCTGAAAATGTCTTGCTGAAAAGAATTGGAGTTTTTTTTCTCCTTCTAGTATTTACAGCAAATGAACAGAAATGCAGCTAAATTAATTGGGTAAAAATGTAAATAGAAAAAAGTTGCTTTTAGATTTAGTTCACACTAACCTGCATGCCTTTGTTCAAGTGTGTATATGTGTGTGTGTGTGTGTGTGTGTGTGTGTGTGTGTGTGCTAACTTGCTAAGCAGAACACCACTCTGACAACTTAATAATGGAGAGAAATTTATTCTGAATGTGTCACTTTACGCACACTGAATCACACTGAGCCACAGGTCACAGGCTGGTCAATAGGCACCTAAAGGTGCTTGCCTCAATTAGTCTGCATGGGCCCCATTTTTACTTTTTTTCACAAGAGAAAGTGAAATGAAAGGAACTAAAAGGAAAGGACCTAACATTCATAATTCTGATGGTGGTGTTGTAAGCTCTGGTTGCATTGACATCCCGTATTCCATCTCAGTCCAGCACACCTTGCATAGTAATGTACATTACATCCATAAACAGTAGTCAGGAGTGACATGGCAGTCATAAATGTAGATCTCCATATGGGTGGAGAATACACTTTAGAGAGCGAGATGCTGAGTCATGAGACCCACAGGACCCAGTGAAGTTGGTCAGACATTAATGAACATAGTGCATGAGTCTGCTAAAAGGTCTAGACAGAACACTTCAGGGCTAAAAGTTGAGACGCTTTGTAATTAAAGAAAGGAATAATCACAACAAAGAATCTGCACATTTGTGCAACATATACTGTCTTCCAAGAAAAAATATGTACCATGTTTTGTTATTGTTTTGCCAAACCACCAATGCAGGGTTGCACTTTATCCACTTAATATATGCCACATTCAACCTGGTACTGACTTCAATTCTCCAGGACACCTTTAGTGCTAATGTTGCACAGCATAAAATCAATAAGCAATGGACTGCAATGGCTTAAATCTATTAGACATGGAAGAACTAATTCAAAGTTGCCATCTGTTCTTCTATTGAATTCAGTTACACAGAAAGTATCCCCTTTCAACTAGTAACATGTGATGTAAACTGCTTGATTGGAGAAGTATTAAGCAGAAGTAATTTAAAGTAACAGTCTATTAGAGATCACTGACAAGCAGGCTTCCTTCCAAAAACCTCACTGGACAGGAGCATTACTGAGTTGAAATGAATACAGCATGACTGAAGGCGAAGAGAACCAAATGGTGATGAGAAATTTACTGCATGTGTGTTTTTCTGTGCATACTTCCATTCAGTGTCCCTTGCTTTTGAAAAAGACTTACCATGTGGTCTATAATTAATAACAATTTTCATTTTACAGT